ACTATTTTGCAATCCTCTTATATATAAAGCAGCAGTTTGGTGTGTTTGTCTGTCTGTTTGTAACCACTAGGCTCGCACGCTACGTAGAAAGAAAACAGTTGGTACAGGTTTCGGATGGGTGGGGCATGGTCCCGGACGGGTAGGAAGTTGCCCTTACCATTAGGGCGTGCACGGTTGGCTAAAAGTGGGTACGGTAGTGGACGAAGCCCGACCTTATGGGCGGAGCGGGGTGGAGCTTATTCCAAAATCTTCGTGAAAACGATGAAACCTGCATTTTTCTTTGAATAATTCGGTGTGTAACGTGGGAATGTGAAGTGTAACTTCAGCAATGGGAAATGGGGAAGAAACCGTCGACAAGGCCGAAAACAAAACCCTCTCTCCAGTAGCAGCAAAGCGAAATAGCACTGATTTGTGGGCGGGCTCAATGGTGTTGGGCGGGGCCAATGCTGCATCCTAGGGCCTTAGCGCCTCGGCCTTCAAATCATCCATTTCTGTGCTTTCCGCCTTGCGTACCACTGCACTTTGCTCGAAGAGAAGCCTAATTCCGGCCAGGAATCCTTGACCTTGCCGTTAAGCTATCCTTAAAGTTCCTCCTTTGAAAAATTGCTTTGCTGTTTCATTTTTTTGTGGATCTGCCAGTTTTCAAGGGACGAGTTATCATAGCTTTCTTCGATTCCAATTTTTCACAAGCCTGCAATTTGTGTAGAATATCGCGAGATTAGGATTTTCTGAACCCAGATTTCAGATTTCATTTTCTTAATTACAGTTTCTTTCATTCAAATCTTATACCATCTTTTCATGATCGCTCTGTACTGGCACTCTTCAGCTACTGTCTATCTATACAGAATATTTGACAACTTTTCCATATAGCTATTTCTCTGATTTTTTGTAGTTGACAGCCAGATAGCTTGCGCTCACAATAAATAACTAAAATAAAATTGTATATTATCATTATTCATATTATAATATTGTGTATTGTACACGTACCACACCGTAACCGCCTTTGCCCAGCGAAGTTTTTGTCATAATGTACTTATTCGTCAGCTCAATAGGGTACGTTTCCAATGAATTCTCTTCGTATAGGAAAACTGAAAACAGTTCACGATTAAGAACACCACTGGCTGAAGATATTGTAGTTGGAGCAGGGTCAACCTGGGGGGGTCGTACCTCTCTCGGTGGCCGACAGCTGGGATTCTTGGTGAAAACATGGATAATAGCCAGCACGTTACGTTTTCGCAAGATGATGATACTAGATACAGCATCTATAAACCACGCTTCCCTCTAAATGAGCTTTCAAATGAATCAGCGAATCAGAAGGGCGCCCGAGGCGTGGCGCACACCAAGGCAGGGGATGTCAGTGCAAGCGCATGCTCAAAGCATTCTAACACATCCTATGGTCAACACGATATTGTTTTCCCTGGAGGTTGCGGCCAGTGAAACCTAAAAAAACCCGCGTTCTTAAGAAAATGGCTTGGAGATAATAAAGAAAAAATGGCGGAGTTTGCCAATCGCTCGATTCGCAAACTATGACATCGGCCATACTACTTCTTCCAATTTTCGTGACACCCTCAAAATACCAAGGAACACAATGGGATGGTGTTTGCTCGAGAGCAGTAGACAGACTCAAATGGCTGTTGATGCAGCTGGGTGAAAGGAAAAGACCCGACCGATACTACTCGTTCCCGCCATTTTGGAGATGGACGCTGTTGAATGAGTGGGGGGGGGGGGGGGGGGGCGGAGGATTGTGAGGCCTGGTTCTTCTTCTTTGCCGAAATTCACTCCCAAAGCTCGCCAAACTTCATTAGTGACGTCCTACTTACCCATTTTATGCCGAGACTTGCATTTAAGGAAATTGGCCGACAGCGCGTAAGACTAGAAATTCCAATCGTTTGAGTAAAGTGCCAGCAACCCTACACTAACCCATCGGACAAGAGCAAACATTTTTTTATTTGGCAATACTGCCACTTAAACGCCCATCACCGATTCTTTCCTATTCGCATGCAAGAGCCACACCAGTTTGAGGGGAGGGGCATGCCTCTACAACTCGGTTTCGCCGACTGTGCAGACAGGTTCTAGACAGGAATCGAAACTTCCCACTGTGAGCTAGAGCACCTCCTCTAAATGGAGCACTGGGATAGCATTCTTAAAGGCATGCTTCATTGGTGTGGCTCTCGCGAAAGTATTGGTGCGAAATGGGCCGCAGTAAAGAAAAAAGGAAAAGAATCCGTCAAAAACGCTTAGGTTAAGGGCTCACTCACCTTCCTAATCGGCTGTGCTAAGGGAATGAGAGACTAAGCGCGGAGAGGAGAGTATGAGGCGAGAGAGCGCTACAGATGAGAGGGCGCCAGACAACAGCCTGATAAGAGAAAAAATCTGCAGCTTCAGCAGCTTACTTTGCAAGGCCCAAGCGCTCTTGTCGGTTGGTTTCCGTGCACGGGAACGCCACATTTGTGATTGTCCTCTAGGGGTCTATACTACAGACCGAAGGGAAGCGTTCACACGACCTCTGCCTGGGTTGTGCCTTTAAGAGCATCAAAAAATTACCGTGCAGGTCTGCACGCCCGCAACTTATGACATCTCCGTTATCGAGCATGTATTTTTGAAACTTTCCTACCAGTTTCTGATTAACGAACGTCCCATTGAATGAGAGATCGGTGAGAACTGTTCGCCCTTCAACCTAAACTTTACGTTTTTGCATAATCTAAGAATTTGTCTGGTAACATAGAATTTCGATTGGTCTTACTCGGTCTAAACGGAAGTGTTGCTTGCTGATTATACTGTAAATAGACAGCTTCGCGTCACGAAGTCCAGCAAAGTCGAAATTCACTTGCTCTGACGTTCCTCGACCACAGATAAACGTTTCGTCCCGTAATTCTGAAAGCGCAAAACCCTTAGAAATACGATGAAAGCAATGCAAAAAGCAGCAGTAGAAAACAAAAGTGAATACAAGAGCAAACTTCCGGTTACCGCCGAAATGAAAAATTTTATTGAGCCTAGTAATGCAAGTATCTGGTGTCTAGTACGGAACAATTTAGCAAGGTATTAGCCTTGGCGAGTCAGCGTATTGGGTCATTTCATGAGTAATGCGCGTCTTCTATCGTGCCTATCCTTCCATGATGCCTTCCAACACAAAGGAGGGGACAACACCAGCATCCAGTTCGGTATTGCGCCCAGATATCCACGAATGAGTTTTCCTCCATTTCAGATATGCAAGCCACCGCTTATTTGCTACTATAATATCCACTATGCATTTCGAACTGTGGCTTTTTTTGTACTACTTATTCGAAACACATAATAAATACACTTCAGTGGCCAGGTTTTGTAGATACGGTGGCGATTTGAAGGAGGAATTCACGATAAGAACGAAGGTCAAAGAAGGGGAAAATTGCATAGTTGGGAGACAGGCGGACCTCCTGAGGGTGCTGACCGACGCGCAATTGGCAGCGAAAGATTTGACCTCGGCGATCTAGCATGGCTCACTCTTGGCGCGGTTGGCGGGGTACGCCCACCGATCTAATCACTCGCCGCAGGTCTATACGTGGCGAGTGATTAGATAGCAGAGAGAGCGTAGTGTTGAAGAGGGCACAGCGATGAGAGTCGCATCAATGCTCAAATCAACGGGCAAGGAAGGGGTCCCATTTCTCGGGTTTCGGCCCGTTTCAAATGGTTCTTCTTCATCCCTGCTCCACTGACCACCTCTACCGCTAATTTCCGACAATGATGTGTCTTCGGGATTTCGACTAAAGTAGCGCGTACTCACCTATCCGAGGAACAAGATCCATAAGTGACTCCAATTTTGCGTAAACTGGACGGATAAACGCTGATGATGTTGAGTCACTAGATGATGGTTCTGAGGTATCTTCATCCAGCGGCTGTGTATCGTGGCTGTAGCTGAAACACTTATGGAACAAAAAGGAAAAGGATGCAGCACCACAAGATGCGTGGAATCTTGATCTATCGATCAGAGGATTTATCAAGTGTATATATAGGTATTTATTTCTGTCTTAGCCCTAACGTAAGCGTACTTCATCAGGCCAATTATGTGTTCCTGCGTTATACGCCCAAGTGCAAGTGGGAAGATTATATCGAAAAGCTTCTGAAGTTCTCGTTCTGAGCTCTTCGAAGTAATCCTCTGACTTACGCTAGTCCACTTTCCCATATCGTCGAACATCTCCTGAACAAAAAATTCAGCTGCTCTTCGAGGAGATGGGAAAAACATTTCACTGAAATCAGGCAGTAAAGACAGGGATACTCATCTAGAAGGCAGTCTTATTGTGCCGAAACGAGGATTCTGAGATGAGTCCACGGTTGGATTAGACTGGACAGAGCCAAAAATCGAGAACCTTAGGTTGATCCTGCAGATGCCCCTGTCCAACTGAAGGTGAGGGGGACAGCGTCTGCAATGCTCCGGATACGTGCTAATGAGGGCCAAGCGATCATGAGCACCACCAAATAATAAGTGTGCATTGTCATCAAGAGAGAAATCACTGGAGTCAGGACAACGCTAATTGTAAGAGATGCCTTGGATAGTAGAAAGTAGCGACTCATTACCAGAATAACGGAATGTGACGAGGCGCGACTAACTCTTGCCAACCGTGTGGCCCGCCGGTGAGCCACGCTTCCACTTGGCGCAGATTCATTTTTCGAGGTTTATTTGGCACTTGAAACTGCTCATATTTATCAGATTTGTAAAGCATGTGCTCATCACTGATAATGGAACTGTTGGAGAGTTAATGATTATTGATGAAAAAATTTAGAAAGAAGTGAAGTGACGCATTCATAACGGCGGTCGTCAAAGGGTTAACTTCCAAAGAAGAAGAATAAGAACAAAAGCGTGCATGAAATG